GGGCCGGAAGCCCGCGGCCGCCACACACCCGCTCCTACGCCGTCAGCCAGGCCACGCTGGAGCGCATCGGAGCTGTGCCCGTCATGGTGCCTGCCCAGAGCAGGGCCGGCTCCCTCGTCTAGGGCCGCGCCAGCAGCCCAGAGCTGAGCAAGGGGTTGCTCGCACCTGGTGGGGCAAAGAGACCCTGCTCCTTCCTGAAAGGCAGCCAGGCGGTGGAGGGAGACACAGACTCGCCTCTCCCCGCTGCCCTCCTCTCCCGAGGCTGCTGCTGGGAGAGCCCTGGCCGTGCCGTGTCCCCCTGGGATGTCGGGGCTTCTCGAGCCGATGGACGCTGCAGACGTGCCAAGGCTGGGGGAGCAGGGAGGCTGGGACCAGCTCCCGGGCTGCTGGGCCCCAGCCGGGACGTGCGCCCAGCCCTCACCTTGGGGGGGACTTCTGCTTTTGTTTCCCGTTGGTTTTGTTTGGGGTCAGTTCTGTTCATTTTGGGTCTTTCAGGGAGGTTTGGGGAGAGAGAGAGAGATATATATTATTATTTTCTTTTTCTGTTGTTGTTGCTGTTTCATTTCCCCGAGGATGACAGCCTGCTTTGGGGCAGGGCAGGTGAAGCAGGGAGGGGTGCTGAAGCAGGATCTGCCTCATCATGGTGGCCCCAGCCCTCTCCCCACAGCCCCGGCCCTGCTGCTGGGTGAGGGAGTGCAGCGTGGTGTGAGGCAGCGTGGGCTGGGCTGGAGGGGCAAGATGAAGGCACAGACACCAGCCCAGCAAAGGAAATGGCTGGGCGAGGGCTTGGACCAGGGAGCATTTGTCTTTAATTTTGCAGTTCTTCCCCCTTCCCAGCATGCAAACAAACACAGAGACACAGATGCAGACACACGCAGACACACACGGGTCCGCTTCGGACTGGGTGTTTTTCCTGCACTACCTTGGGGTGCCAGCAGAGCCCTCTTCATGCCTGTGGAGGGGACAACCATCTGAGTGTCTTTCCCTGAGACACCCTGTGCCGGTGAAGACGCGTTGCTGCTGGTGGTGGTTTGGGTTTTTTGGGGTTTTTTTGGGTGTTGCTGAGGTTATTCGGGAGGCAGAGAGGAGCAGGGTGGTGTGGCAGAGCCAGAGGCAGGTCTGGAAACATCTGCTGCCCATGGGCTACTCCGGTTTGGGGCAAGTGGCTTCAATCACCGCAGCTTTAATGTTTGCATGGTGGGTTTGCCTAATTGGGCTATCCACAGCTGGCTGACAGGGCAGGGCACATGTTGTGCTTGGGGCCTTGACACAAGGAATCATCA